GGTTTCCTGTTATATTCCTCAGAGGTGTAGGTAGGGTGAAGTCTGTGAATCCCACAAATAGTAATTATACAGATGTTTAACAAAATATGCACACAACAGTATTCATACCTTGGTTTTCATGGTAAATGTGAATGAAAAAAACTGTTTTGATAATGGTTTTCATACACATACCTTGTCCATAATGTAGAGACCTATGGGATTTCCATTGAAGAGGCAAAGAAGGAGGATGGTTCATGTGATCTGCATAACATACCAATACCTTACCAGTTGAGAACCTGTTCTCAACTGGCTTACCTGGTTAAATAAAGGTGAAATAAAAAAATAAAAAATAAAAACCTTTTGACATACCTTTGTATGCCTCCTAGTCTGTATACCTGCAGACGTAGGCACAAAAGTGAGCAGTTCAGTCATCTGCACCCAATACAGCTAGCCTTCAACATATTCTTATAGCATACATATTCATACCTCTGTGATTTTCTGTTTTTAGAAAGATTTGCACAAATATGAAAAGATAGATGGTATCATCATAAAACAATATCCATTTAGATCATACAAGGGACAAACCTTACCTTAAATTGAGGAGATATTTACATTTTTCAATCAAGTGCCTGCACCTGCTGTCCTTTAAAATTAAAATCAAAATGTTTCAGTTGGGCAGTTAGGTTCCTGCAAGAACCACCACCAACTAAGGAGGTTCCTTGATGAACCCCACCTCCTATGGGGCTCTTGGAAGAACCTTTTGGGTGACATGTTCAGTACCAAGAACCCTAAGGTTATTCAAAGAACTTTGAGGATCTTAGAAGAACCCATGTTGAACCCTTAATTTTTAGAGTGTATAGGCTACCTGGTCTGCGCGCAAATGTAAGCATATACAGTGGCTTGCGAAAGTAATCACCCCCCTTGGCATTTTTCCTATTTTGCCTTACAACCTGGAATTAAAATGGATTTTTGGGGGGGGTTGTATAATTTGATTTACACAACATGCCTACCACTTTGAAGATGCAAAATATTTTTTATTGTGAAACAAACAAGAAATAAGACAAAAAAACACTAAACTTGAGCGTGCATAACTATTAGTAACTAGGGCCACCTTTTGCAGCAATTACAGCTGCAAGTCTCTTGGGGTATGTCTCTATAAGCTTGGCACATCTAGCCACTGGGATTTTTGACCATTCTTCAAGGCAAAACTGCTCCAGCTCCTTCAAGTTGGATGGGTTGGTATACAGCAAGTCATACCACACATTCTTAATTGGATTGAGGTCTGGGCTTTGACTAGGCCATTCCAAGACATTTAAATGTTTCCCTTTAAACCACTCGAGTGTTGCTTTAGCAGTATGCTTAGGGTAATTGTCCTGCTGGAAGGTGAACCTCCGTCCCGGTCTCAAATCTATGGAAGACTGAAACAGGTTTCCCTCAAGAATTTCCTTCTATTTAGCGTCATCCATCATTCCTTCAATTCTGACCAGTTTCCCAGTCCCTGCCGATGAAAAACATCCTCACAGCATGATGCTGCCACCACCATGCTGTGGAGCTTTGCAGCTCCTTCCGGGTTATCTTTGGTTTCTTTGTTGCCTCTCTGATTAATGCCCTCCTTGCCTGGTCTGGGAGTTTTGGTGGGTCGGCCCTCTCTTGGCAGGTTTGTTGTGGTGCCATATTCTTTCCATTTTTTAATAATGGATTTAATGGTGCTCCGTGGGATGTTCAAAGTTTCGGATATTTTTTCATAACCCAACCCTGATCTGTACTTCTCCACAACTTTGTCCCTGACCTGTTTGGAGAGCTCCTTGGTCTTCATGGTGCCGCTTGCTTGGTGGTTCCCCTTGCTTAGTGGTGTTGCAGACTCTGGGGCCATTCAGAACAGGTGTGTATATATGCTGAGATCATGTGACAGATCATGTGACACTTAAATAAAGTCCACCTGTGTGCAATCTAACTAATTATGTGACTTCTGAAGGCAATTGGTTGCACCAGATCTTATTTAGGGGCATCATAGCAAAGGGGGTGAATACATATGCACGCACCACTTTTCCGTTATTTGTTTTTTAGAATTATTTGAAACAAGTTATTTTTTTCATTTCACTTCACCAATTTGGACTATTTTGTGTATGTCCATTACATGAAATCCAAATAAAATTCAATTTAAATTACAGGTTGTAATGCAACAAAATAGAAAAAACACCAAGGGGGATGAATACTTTTGCAAGGCACTGTAAATTGGCCCATTTGGGGATCTGAAAGTATTTCTGATTGGCTTAATGCACCACCACTAATGACCCGTGGAGCTTCTCAAAGTAGTTTTAGAATTACAATAGTTCCTCAATGTATTTGAAAAATCTTTCCAGCTCTCTCCCTTTCGATTACCACTCAAAGGGAAAGGGATCCAATGGAAACGTCATAAAATAGGCCTACCTGATTACTTCTTATCACGGCTTGACCGACTGAAATAGGTTCCAGTATTCATTTTGGGTGCTGGTACTGTTTATATTTAGGTGCACAATACTTTTGAGCTAATATTCTATAAGAGGAACAGGAGCTCAAGCAGTTGAAAATTTGAGGTGCCGGTACTCAGCTCCGGTGAGCTCCTGCCCAAGTCAAGCGCTGCTTCTTATCCCTTGAGCAAATAGCCAACAGCTGTGTCTGTCCCCAGCTCACTGGTGCGGGAAACTCTAAGGGCCCTGAATATTTTATACAATGTTGCAAATTCACTAGCACAAGCTTTCAGGCAGGACCCAAGTTAATAGTTGATACAATGTTTCAAGTTCGTTGCAGACATGCCATGTGTAGCCAATGTGTTTTATAGGATATTTATTTTCATCAGGATATTTTCTACCTGCAAGCTGTAATGTTTTTATTTGTTGTCTTTAAGTAGGCTTTTTTTTACATAGTTGGCAATGGCAATAGAAGTTACTTTTTAGGTTTGTATAATTTTCATTTAGATTTGGATAGAATTTTGATTAACCACTTGATTTTGAGATATGAAGACTTTAGTATAAATGAAATGAAACTGTTTCACGAAAATGTGCATATGAAAACCATAACTGGCACGCAGATCGGTAGAACTTGTAAGATGAATTGGCATTCCAGGTGTAGCCTATTAACGGCAACTTCAGGAGTAATGGCAGAATCTGCGAAAACCAGCAGGAGCGGGAGGAGAATAGTTGGGTCAGGTTACGTTTTTTCTTCTTCTGGCTATCTAGATCTCTGGTGCCCTCGAGGCATTTGTCTTATTTCATCAAACCCTACGTTTTAAGCATCAGACAAGCTCAATGCATATAGTTGATTTTATTCAAACACATCTATAGGTCTAATAATGGAAAAATACACATTTAAACATTTCGACAAGTCGAACAGACGACTTTCGGTCGACCAATATTTTTTGGGGGTCGGGGACAGTCCTAATCCAAACTCAACCCACATTTACCACAGGCATTATGATCTGGTCGTGTGCAGCTGCTCTCCGAATTGATGATTACTTGTGTGCTGCCAGCTGCGGGCAGGATTGAAACAAACCCAACCAACCTTCACTTACGTTGTGATGAAGTCACGACCACAAGTATCACAAAACTCTGTTTTGGACGAGACTGACTTTATGACTAAAAGTATCCTATTTACACTTTGTAGTACATTTTGACAGTAGAATAAATGTTTCTGACTTATATTGATGCCACATAGGCTGTTTTCTAAATGAGAAGTTCGTTTTTAGGGGCAGTTGCACATTAAAACATTTCTAGCCTGTCCATCTATTGGTAACAGGGTTGACGTGTTATGCTGGACCGCTCAGTTTTCCACCACAAAACACCAGGAAATGGACAAAAAGAGTACAACCAGCGCACCTGCATTTACTCTATGAATTGACGATTAGATGTTCAATGTTTCTTTTGAAAAAAATATATATAAAAAGGAATAGTTTCACCATATTAAAATGAGTTAAGTTCAGGAAACAGAGTTGACCTTAAAATGAGGGACAGATGTAAATGTCACTTAATCACATGAAATAAATACATCTTCAGAAATGACTGTCAAAGCAACAAAATAACTAACGTTTTAAAATGATGGTGGAACTTGGACACATTTTGGGATTAAGTGGGTTACAATCTTCCTAGAAGTGACCCAGGGTTGACGGAGGGACATGTCAAAATGCTGAATTTGAGCACTTTAGCAAACCTTTATTCATATTAAAAATCTGATTTATGGAATTCTCGATATGGTCTATACTAAAGGGCACTTCATAAAAATTTGATATTGGTGCACAATTTCTACTTAAAACAACAAAAGGGACACAAAAGGCATTATATTCATGGAAACATTAGCAATTTTTTATATTTATTTATTCTTTATTTTAAAAAAAACATTTAACTGAAAACCCTCTCCATTTCCACTTTTTTGAAGGTGCTACATAAGTCTTACAAAAACCTAAATATGAATCTTGGTCCTGAGAACAGTTCCCTTTCACTTACTGAGATCTTGGTAGGCTGCTCAACTAACTTATTTCATCTATGGCTTAGCCTTAGGGGCAGCGCCAGCAATATTCACCCACGCTACCCATTGATAAAAAAATATGTACCAAGAAGCATGGGCTAGTAATAGACTTTATAATCAAAAAATTGTTTTACATGTGATAATGTGTCAGTCAATTAATATATCCAGAACAATTGCAATTGTTTGATAATAAAACAGGGAAAAATGTCACAGGTAAAAGCATGCAGGAAATATTGAATCATAGATCCCAAATCAGACTTGTGGTAGTGCAATGGTAATGGCATTGGTACTCACACAATGTCAGTCATTCTGTAACAAGTAGTCAGTGGGGACCATTTCAGCTAACTTTTAAATGTGTGGTTTAAAATCAAAGCCCTAAAAATGTACTAAAAGTCCAATGGATTACAAAGTACAGTTGAAGTCGGAAGTTTACATAAACTTAGGTTGGAGTCATTGATACTCGTTTTTCAACCACTCCACAAATTTCTTGTTAACAAACTATAGTTTTGGCAAGTCGGTTAGGACATCTACTTTGTGCATGACAGTCCAATGGATTACAAAATATTTCTGGCATGTCATTAGTGATACATTAGTAAAATGTACAGTGCAACAATGAAAAACAATTTAAAAAGCATGGAACCAACAGCCCACTGGTGCCATATGCAATATCTTGTCTAAGTTACTACAAGTCCATGATTTCACACCAGGGGAAATCAGAAATAAGAGGTCAGTATAAATGCCAAGGCCGTAATACTGAACCCAAGCCCATTTTCAAATTCGAAAAACAGCGGTGAGATCCACCAAACGACACTGGTCAAGACCAAAGTATTGAAATTAAATCAACCCAAAACGAATGTATTACCATTTCCCAGAATCAAATATTAGTTAAAAGTGTAAGAAACCACAGTAAACCCATATATATCAATGAACACGGTACTGCACTCTATCAAACGATGTTATGCTTAACCTTTTGGTGATTTATAAAATGCCTGCCACCACTGACACATTTAACCGATGCTGCAACAAGCCGTGAGGAAGGCTATTCCAAGATCCTATCAACATGTCACCTGAAATTTACAACCAGGAGTTAAAAATAGTTTTAAAGATATTGTCATGTACAGTTATCTGAGAAATGTGTCGTCTTCATGTCATACACACATGGTGTGGAGTGCAACGAGGTTATGTTATCTCCATGTCATACACACACTTTCAGTATGTTGCGAGGTCATCATATCAGGTCAGTTAGCTCTCTTCCTGCACCCTTCCCTCGTCCAGCAATCTCGTCCTCTCCGCTGGGTTGCCTTCCTCCTCCTCCTCCACCATGCTGGCGCAGCACGGAATCCTTGCAAGCAGGGGGCGATGAAGCCCATTATACAGCGCCGCACCCACCAACAGCACAATGAAACCCAACACCTGTAACCCATGGAACTGCTCCCAGCCCAGAGCCAGACTGACCACCCAGATGACCACGGTGCGCAGGCTGTCCAGCACCATGCGCGTGGTGGCACTGATCTCCTTGGTGACAGAGATGCCGGCAAAGTTGAAGAAGGCGATGGACACTGTGTTGCCGAGCAACGCCAGGATGATCATGGGGTTGTGGCCGATCTGGCAGAAGGCGTCCAGCGCGTCCTCGAGGACGTGGCGGGGGTTGTTGCTGAAGCTGCCCACCGGGATGTAGAAAAATGGGATGAGGAGGAGCGAGAGGATGAAGAAGCCAAAGAACCCTGGAGAATGGAGGAGAAGAAGAAGGGTGGAAATGAATGGAGGCAGGGTGAATTACTAAGGGAGTGGTCAAAATTTAAACAATTGTTACCTGGAGGAAAATGGAGGAGGGTCGTGCTTTTTCAATTTCAGTTAGGGGGAGGGTTCAGTATTGTTTTATTTAGTCCAGGGGAGGGTCATGTAATTTGTGATCTATTAAATGTCATATTGCTCAGTGTTTGAGAATGTGTTGGTTATTATATCTCGATGTGTGCCCGATGCTGCCCCTCATCCCTGATTCTCTGCTGGGCGCACAATATCAAGTGCACCTAGTGTGGTCTCAATCAAATGATCCATAGCCTATACTATAGACTTTAGGCCTAGGCTAAATGAAGAGCATGCTCAGAGAAGGACAGGGCAAAGTTATATTTCTACGAAAATGTACTTCCTGAGTTTTTGCGCTGCTGGGATGGTGTATAGAAAACTTGGCTACGCTGCATTACACACTGCAATGGATAGGCGTTCCCAAAAATGAGCCCTGGCCTGCCCAGCTCTTGCTGAGGTAAACCCTTTTTTGCTGCCTAACCAATGGCTGTGCTGTGTACAGTGGCACTTCAGGAGGCGAATCAAAGGCTTCTTCCGAAAATAATTATATTGCTATAATTGATTTGAATAAAAACAAATGTTTCTTTGCCCATAATGAAGCTATTTATCTGAGTTATTGACCTCCCAATAAGCCATATTAGAGTAATTTACATAACTTAAATTACTATGAAGCAGCCGCGGAGATGGAGAGTGCATGGGTGCTGAAAGTATGTTAATTCGAGAAGGCCTAATTAATTTAAACAGTCTTCAATTGTATTTGACTTTAGGCTACTAACAATAAGAGGGCTTTGTGTTGGAAGTTACTTCTTCCTATTCAAGAAATAAGAGGTATGCCTACCTGTTTGACAGACAAAATTATAGTCTACAATAAAAAAAAACAACATTTTAGTCATTTAGCAGACGCTCTTATCCAGAGCGACTTACAGTTAGTGAGTGCATACATTTTCATACTGGCCCCCCGTGGGAAACGAACCCACAACCCTGGCGTTGCAAGCGCCATGCTCTACCAACTGAGCTACAGGGGACTACAATCCATACATTTTGTCAGCCAATTCCTTCAGTCACCATGCACTCCTTAAATATCTCAGTGTCAGTGAAGGGCTTGGTGTGTTACGTTAAAACCAGGGCTCAAATTGAGGGGGTATGTGAGGGTAAATGGCTAAAAGCATGGGCCTACACCTTGTTAGCATAAGATTTTTTGAGAAAAAATTCAAAAGGCACTCGCACATCTGAGCTATCTTTTTTTGCAGGTGCATGGTAACAGTTGAATAAGATGAGAAAAAAGAAGAAGCCAGCACACTGCTCTTGTTAGTATCACCGCTCTTTAATAAGCTTTACGTATAGGCCCTGAGGCCTTCGTCAGAGCTTTTGTGAGTTTTAAAACATTAGCACCCTTATGTAAACATAGCTCCACCCACATCCGTTCAATGCATTGAATGGGGTTGGAGTCGAGGGAAAATAAGTAAGTGTTACCAAATATAACAATGTGCATTTCATAAATATTAGAATAAAGTGTGTACATAAAACGTATTAAACATGTCTATAAAACCACAATGAGGACATCGACCCATCAAGCAAGTTTTCATAAATCATTGGGTACAGCGCAAGAAAAACGTCAGCGTAATCGGAAATGGTGGCATTAATTCATGTTCACATTTACAACATAACATACATAGGAATTTTATCATTAAGACCTTTAGGAAATAATGTCTGGAGGGTGAAAATCCCAAAACATTCTCTTTTGCTCAGAGTATTATTTGTATCACCTCCCCTGTCTGATATCTTAACTTTCTCTATGTCACAAAATCCCCCCCCCCCCCAAAAAGGTAGAAATGTCATGTTTTTGGTCATTAAAATGTACTGCGACTGGATAATCCCTGTCGTTTCTCCTGATGGAACATTTATGTTCACTAATTCTCTGTTTGAGAGAACGAGAGGTTTTACCTACATAACACAGCCCACATGGATATTTAATCATGTAGATAACATGGGTGGTGAAATGTTTAAAATAAAAAAATTGACCTGATTATATCAAGCGATCTATAATGACGATTTAGTCTGTAATGCTTTATGCTAGAAACAAGCTGTAAAATGGGAAAGATGTGATTCCGATCCATATGGGATATCTTTGGTTTGTCTCTATGATATTCAGAGACTGCGCTACAACCTTCTATAGCCGAGAAGACAAAACAGTTACCTTGCTTGGGAAGTACAGTAATGTTTGATTCTGTCACTATCAGTTGACGTTCAACATTTCAACAGGCTATTAAACAACATACTAACGCTAAAATCAGTCAGGCACAAGCCAGGTAGCCTAAATAAATTATTTAGGCTATATTATTATTATTATTATTATTTCAAGGCTATATATAGCCTGCCATTTAAGAAAAACATTGTGAAGCATTTGTGACAGCTACAGGCTGGCAGGAGCGCTCAGCATTTCAACAACATATCAACAACAGCACTTCAACAACATGCCTATACATTTCTCATTTAGGCTATATAAAATGAAATATTTTATTTATTTATAATTGAATAGTAATTAAATGAAAAATGTGTTATTAGGCTATACAGTCATTCTACAGTGCCTTTGAATTCACAAGTTTGGCCAGTCTTTGGTTTGAGGATCATGCGGTGAGCTATGCATGCCTAGTTTAGCCAAGCAGATGCTCTTATATTCCCATGCCCAGTCAACACAAATCTATTTTATAACAATATCATGGAATAAAATAGAATACGTTAGAAAATTATAGTTTTAGGGCATATAGGCCTACCTGATGATATACGGCTGCTGTGTATTTTTTTCTTCTTCTCTAATTCATTGATGATCAGACACTTCAGTTGTAACTGGTTCGGTTGCGCTACATTCTTACAGTTGATAGAAAACTTTCGCACTGTTCGAAATTTAGACTATCCTATTTTTTAACAACTGAAATGTTTCTTCTGCATTTAACCCTTCCCAGTCATGTAAAATGACGTAGAACTGCATGAAATGCGTTTATAAAAAGGCTATTTTTTCCTCGGACCGCAAATAAGATGATAGATTGATGCAATGCTTTTATTATAATGGAGATCTTTTCACCCTTGTCCGCGGTGGTCTGCGAATCCACAACCTTCTGGCTACTTTGCCATGTAATGCTTACAAAACGAAGAACAGTTTCTGCATATCTAAGGTTCTGGTCTGTCCTTTATGCTTAATTATTATTTTGGGTATAGGGGATGGGCACTTCTTATTTCTATTTTTTTTTTTAGGTCCGATTTTCTCCAGGTATCCCGCATAATACATAACGTACAGTCCCTAATGATCTACAGACATTAGCACCATCTCAAGCATGAAATGGTGACAACACCACCAACATTATTTTTTTCTGTAGAAATAAACTATAACAGAAATGGTCAAATAGGTCATTAAGTACTACCTACACATCTGATTATTATGCTTGTGTTTCTTAAGACTGTAAGCTTCACTCTCAAAGCTCTACAAACACCATTGCTATATTCTGTACATGGAGTTATACATTAACCAAATGCATACAGCCATAAATGTATACAGTATGCTCACTGTACCTTCAGTGCCCACTGCCCGTAGAGGATGAACGTCATGCTTGTAGACAAACTTCTCCTCCAGAACCATCTGGACAGCAGCAATGACCTGGGCCATGATGATCAGAAGGTCACCTTAGGATTAGAAGAGATGGGTAAGGCCTTTGCATGACAGTTCCTCATTGGACATTTGTTTTAGCAAGATGTTGCTAGTGAGGGAAAACCAGTCTCTGTGGAAGCTAAATCGAAATAATCAAAAGTCAATAGACTCCAACTCAGTTGTGGGCCCTGTTTGAATACCATTCAAATGTATCCTTCCTTCCCATTTTCCTTGAGGTAATCACTGATTAGATGTGACTGGACTGGTGAAATCACTGCTGTGTAAAGTTTGCTTTCAACTATCCAATCATGAGTTAGATGCATCATTAATTCAAGTGTGGAAGGAGGGAAAGACATATTCTAAGACAGTGTTGGGAAACACTGTTCTAAGAGTATTCGAACAGGGCCCTACCTTTGTCACTGTAAGTGCCCACTCATTATCCTCTTAACAATGAGTATGTTTACATGCACACTAATAATTTGATATTAAACTGATTATGGCAGTAGGCAGAGTAGGGCTGACCCCATTTAGTCGACTGGTCGATTGTTTGATCGATAGGCTGTTGGTCGACTGAGACTCTTTTTAGTCGAGCAGTGGCAAATATATGAAAAAAATGTTATGGCACACGATTTTCTATAGGATTGAGGTCAGGGCTTTGTGATGGCCACTCCAATACCTTTACTTTGTTGTCCTTAAGCGATTTTGCCACAACTTTGGAAGTATGCTTGGGGTCATTGTCTTGTCTTGAGATGTTGCTTCAATATATCCACATAATTTTCCTTCCTCATGATGCCATCTATTTTGTGAAGTGCACCAGTCCCTCCTGCAGCAAAGCACCCCCACAGCATGATGCTGCCACCACGGTGCTTCACGGTTGGGATGGTGTTCTTCAGCTTGCAAGCATCCCCCTTTTTCCTCCAAACATTACGATGGTCATTATGGCCAAACAGTTCTATTTTTGTTTCATCACACCAGAGGACATTTCTCCAAAAAGTACGATCTTTGTCCCCATGTGCAGTTGCAAAACGTAGTCTGGCTTTTTTATGGCGGTTTTGGAGCAGTGGCTTCTTCCTTGCTGAGCGGCCTTTCAGGTTATGTCAATATAGGGCTCATTTTACTGTGGATATAGATACTTTTGTACCTGTTTCCTCCAGCATCTTCACAAGGTCCTTTGCTGTTGTTCTGGGATTGATTTGCACTTTTCGCACCAAAGTACGTTCATCTCTAGGAGACAGAACGCGTCTCCTTCCTGAGCAGTATGGCGGCTGCGTGGTCCCATGGTGTTTATACTTGCGTACTATTGTTTGTACAGATGAACGTGGTACCTTCAGGCGTTTGGAAATTGCTCCCAAGGATGAACCAGACTTGGAGGTCTACAATATTTTTTCTGAGGTCTTGGCTGATTTCTTTTCATTTTCCCATGATGTCAAGCAAAGAGGCACTGAGTTTGAAGGTAGGCCTTGAAATACATCCACAGGTACACCTCCAATTGACTCAAATGATGTCAATTAGCCTATCAGAAGCTTCTAAAGCCATGACATAATTTTCTGGAATTTTCCAAGCTGTTTAAAGGCACAGTCAACTTAGTGTATGTAAACTTCTGACCCACTGGAATTGTGATACAGTGAATTATAAGTGAAATCTGTCTGTAAACAATTGTTGGAAAAATTACTTGTGTCATGCACAAAGTAGATGTCCTAACCGACTTGCCAAAACTATAGTTTGTTAACAAGAAATTTGTGGAGTGGTTGAAAAACGAGTTTTAATGACTCCAACTGTACATCCATTGAGAATTACAATAGCAATTTCGATAACCACTCAGCATGAAAGGGGAAAATGTTTCATGTTCTGATCCTGTGGAAATGTCATAAAAAAAGGCCTACCTGATTACTTCTTATCCCTTGTGCAAATAGCCTACAGCTGTGACTGTCTGTCCGGAGCGCACTGGCGCAGGAAACTCTGAGGGACCAGAATATTTTATACAATGTTGCAAGTTTGCTAGCATGAGCTTCAGGCCGGACCCAAGTTAATAGTTGATACAATGTTTCAAGTTCCTTGCAGACAGGCCATGTTTAGCCAATGTGATTTATAGGATTTATTTTTATTTTTAAATCAGGATATTTTCTACCGGTGGGCTGCAATGTTTTTATTTGTTGGCTTTATGTAGGCTATTTTTACATATTGGCAATGGCAATATACGTTTTTAGATTTGTATCATTTTCATTTAGATAGAATTTTGATTGAAGATATGAACACTATTATAAATTAAATGTTCCACAAAAATTTGCATATGAAAATCATAACTGGCATGCAGATCAGTAGAGATTGTATGATAACTTGGCACTCCAAATGGAAAAGGTTGCCGACCGCTGGTGTAGCCTGGTTAGGCTATATTGATCCCTGGCTCCCTCTTTAGTAACTTGTGTATCTTTATTTTTAATTGCAGTGCTTAAAGCATCAGGCAAAGTAGCCTACATAGAGGTGATTTTATTCAAACATTGGGTGTGTCTATATATGGAAAAATACACGTTTGAACATTTCGACCAATCAATTGGTCGAAAGAAGAGACGACTCTCGGTTGAGCAAGATTCTTTTTTGGTCGGGGACAGCCCAAAGGCAGAATATGGCATTAATCTTGTAAACACCTTACTCTGCTTTCTTATATCGGCGTAAGGTCATAATCGAAGTAAGCATACGCCGATTAAAACACCTGCTTTTCTGAGCACCTTTGAAATTATCACGAGTTAAAGCAGTGTATTTGATCTGTGCACGACCAGCGCAAGCTTCCTTCTTTTGTGCGAGTAGTGAGTTTGGAAAAACTGGACGTATTTATCTTAGAAATAGTTTTCACATACAAACGTTATATGTCCGAACTCAGAATCAAATAGGCTTCACAAAAATAACATGGCCGCTGTGGTAGAATGTAAATTTTGATTAGAGATTTTCTGCATTTATCAAAGTCCCATCAGGTAGCCTGATTTCAGATGTGTCCATGTTAAACAGGATTTTTAAGGAAATCGTTCTTCTTGCAAAGCATGCAAACATTTAAATCAAACTATCATATTAATCTGACTATTCACAATAATCGTATTAACCGTACACATTGTGTTCTAACAGTCCTACCCTTGCCACTACAAGTATCTCCTTCCAACCCACTCTCTCTACCTTACCAGTGATGACCTCGCTAAGTTTGTGCGAGTCGTCCTTGTGTCCGCTCATGAAGTCAGCCAGGCCCACCACTATCAGGCCCAGGATGGTGACGAGGATGCCTGTCCACTGACTGGCCACCAGGCGGCGCCCTAGGAAGGCCACCGACAGCAGGCCCGTGAAGATGATCACCGCCCCACGCAGCATCTGGAAGCTGGAGGCGCTCGTCATGTTCAGGGCTGGGGAGAGGGTCACAGACAGAGCTTGGTTCAAATAGGGCGGCAGGTAGCCTAGCGGTTAAGAGTGCTGGGCCAGTAACCGAAACGTTGCTGGTTCAAATCCCTGAGCCGACTAGGTAAAAGATACTTAACGCTAATTGCTCCTGTAAGTCGCTCTGAACAAGAGTGTCTGCTAAATGACTAAAATGTAAATAGGATTTATTGTTTAAATAAGTCTGCCTGGAGTGGCAAATGGGCAGCGGTTGCACATTGGGACTATTCAATTGGTTCAACAGGCAAAAGAAAGCAAATACTATTTGAACCCAGGTCTGCAGTTAGCACAAACTTTCACTATGACAATCTAGAGTTCTCGGTTATTGTGTTCCAGTTCCTTAATAAAATAGGAGATATATCACAGGAATTTAAGATTAGTTTGTAATTGTGCCTCTGACCATAATATGTTACAGATCATTTTGACTTCCTCGCAGTTTTTGAAGAATACTTTTGAAGACTAGAACTTGGAAGCCCTTTTTGGTGTGAATTGTCACATTATGAAAATATTTTATGCAAGGTGCGAGGGAATTAAATGGCGGCTCAAGCAATGAGCAACATGCCCAGAAAACTCTGGAGCCCACTGCAATTCCCAATGAAGATAAATATCCAGGTTGTCGGGGTCACGTACCAACATACATGATGGAGGTAGCAGTCATGTCACAGAGGGCAGGGGGAAGGAAGAGGAGGGGGTTGAAGCTCTGGCCCGTGTTCATCTTGGGTTCTGGTCTCCGTCTGTCGTGACAAAGCAGCATGTGGAAGACAGCCAGACAACTGAGCTCCCCCAGGAACATCCCTACGGCCTAGAGAGGGAAAAGGAGGGATAGGAGAGAGAGAGGAAGGCAGAGGGGTAGAAGGAGAGAGAGGCAGAGGGGTAGAAGGAGAGAGAGGGGAGGCATGGGGGTAGGAGTGAGAGAGGGTTTGTGAGGAAGAGAGAGAGACAGACAAAACAAACAGAGGCACAAGGTCAGCACTCAGCAACCTACCCATCAAACACTAAGCAAGAACAAAATAATAATGATACATTTAATCCATTCAAAATGTTGATAAAGACACAAGTGATTTACTTAGGTCTAAGCTTACACATACAGTATGAATTTTTATTTTATTTGAAAGACTGCACCTGTACAAATGGGTGGGAAAATGTGTGTTCAGGGGAGTCTTTACAACCATTTGCGGAGAACATGTCAGCCCATCTGGGGGAGAAGAAGAGAGCGTTGATTAAGTTTGCTCAAGAATGTCACACCAGGCCTCCCGAGTGGCGCAGCAGTCTAAGGCACTGCATCGCAGTGCTTGAGGCGTCACTACAGTTAGGGGAGGGTTTGGCCGGCCGAGAATTCCTTGTCCCATCATGCTCTAGCGACTCCTTTTGGTGGGCCGGGTACCTGCAAGCAGACTTGGCCAGTTGGACGTGTTTCACATTGGTGCGGCTGGCTTCCAGGTTAAGTGAGCAGTGTGTCAAGAAGCAGTGCGGCTTGGCAGGGTCGTGTTTCGGAGGACGCATGGCTCTCGACCTTCGCCTCTCCCGAGTCCGTAGGGGAGTTGCTGCGATGGGACATGACTGTAACTACCAACTGGACATCACAAATTGGGGGGGAAAAAAGGGGTAAAAGTACCAAAAAATAAATAAAAATTATAATTCACTTATGTGTATTAAAGGAGTAAAAAGTTACGTGTTTGGTCCCATAGTCATAGCACACAATGATTACATCAAGCTTGTGACTACAAATTTGTTGGATGCATTTGCTGTTTGTTTTGGTTGTGTTTCAGATTATTTTGTGCCCAATAGAAATGATTGGTAAATAATGTAGTGTCATTTTGGAGTCACTTTTATTGTAAATAAGAACAGAATATGTTTATAAACACTTCTACATTAATGTGGATGCTACCATGAATAATAATGAGTGAGAAAGCTACAGACGCACACATATCATACATACAGAAAGTATTCAGACATCTTGACTTTTTCCACATTTTGCTACGTTACAGCCTTATTCTAAAACGGATTAAATAGTTTTCCCCACCCCCTCATCAATCTACACAAAATACCCTATAAATGTAAAAAAATCTAAAGAATTAAATACATCACATTTACATAAGTATTCAGACCTGATGTCCTGAGCGCTCTGGGGCAGATTTTCATCAACGATCTCGCTGTACTTTGCTCCGTTCATCTTTCCCTCTATCCTGACTAGTCTCCCAGTCCCTGCCACTGAAAAACATCCCCACAGCATGATGCTGCCACCACCATGCTTCACCGTAGGGATGGTGCCAGGTTTCCTCCAGACGTGACGCTTGGCATTCAGGCCAAAGAGTTCAATCTTGGTTTCATCAGACCAGAGAGACTTCTTTCTCATGGTCTGAGAGTCCTTTAGGTGCCTTTTGGCAAACTCGAAGCGGGTTGTCATGTGCCTTTTACTGAGGAGTGGCTTCCATCTGGCCACTCTACCATAAAGGCCTGATTGGTGGAGTGCTGCAGAGATAGTTGTCATTCTGGAAGGTTCTCCCATCTCCACAGAGGAACTCTGGAGCTCTGTCAGAGTGACCATTAGGTTCTTGGTCACCTTCCTGACCAAGGCCATTCTACCCCCATTGCTCAGTTTGGCCAGGAGGCCAGCTCTAGGAAGAGTCTTGGTGCTTCCAAACTTCTTCCATTTAAGAATGTTGGAGGCCACTGTGTTCTTGGGGACATTCAATGCTGCAGAAGTCTTTTGGTATTCTTCCCCTGATCTGTGTCTCGACACAATCCTGTCTCGGAGCTCTACAGACAATTCCTTCGACCTCATGGCTTGGTTTTTGCTCTGACATGCACTGTTAACTGTGGGACTTTATATAGACTGGTGTGTGCCTTTCCAAATCATGTCCAATCAATTGAATTTACCACAGGTGGACTCCAATCAAGTTGTAGAAACATCTCAAGGATGATCAATGGAAACAGGATGCACCTGAGCTCAATGTTGAGTCTCATAGCAAAGGGTCTGAATACTTATGTAAATAAGGTATTTCCGTTTTTTATTTTTAAACAATTTGCTAAAATTTCTAAAAACCCGTTTTCGCTTTCTCATTATGGGGTATAGTGTGTAGATTGATGAGGAAATATTTTTATTTAATCAATTTTAGAATAAGGCTGTAACGTAACAGAATGTGGAAAAAGTCAAGTTCTGAATACACTGACCAAAAATATAGACGCATCATGCAACAATTTCAAAGATTTTACTGAGTTACAGTTCATTTAAGGAAATCAGTAAATTGAAATAAATTCATTAGCCCCTTATCGATGGATTTCACATGAAGGGCAAGGGTGCAGCCATGGGTGGGCCCACCCATGGGTGGGCCCACCCACTTGGGAGCCAGGCCCACCCACTGGGGAGCCAGGCCCAGCCAATCAGAATGATTTCTTCCCCACAAAAGGGCGTTTCATTACAGACAGAAACACTCTTCAGCACCTACGTGCTGAATGCCCCCCAGCACCTACAGTACGTCCTAAATGCCCCCCAGCCTTCAGATGTGAGCTAAACAGTGCAATTGCACTTCAGATGCGTTTTAAGGCTATGGATGAGAACGTTAACTTATCATTTCCAAACGTTTAGGTCAGTTGTATGCTGCTGCTTTGCGATCTATTAACAGCAAGGGTTGCATTAAATAGGCTCAATATTTTCCACTGATGCATTTGCCAATATTCAATTCATACGCACAAAACATATAAACAAAAGCATTCACTGTGAAAGTTGAAAATTCTCTTGGTAAATAATGTGGTCTAAAGCTTATCATGAGATACTCTACCTCAGGCGAGCAAAACCTTGAGACTTCCTGAAATATTACATTTCGTGCCCCAGCTGTTATTTACAAATACACACCGACCGCCACCCCTTGTCTTACCGGGGGCAGCTGTTCTATCTTGCCGATGCACCAAAAAACCCTGCCAGCTGTATGTTATCCATGTTGTCGTTCAGCCACGACTCTGTGAAACATAAGATTTTACAGTTTTGAATGTCCCGTTGGTAGGATAGTCTTGATCGAAGCTCATCCATTTTGTTATCCAATGATTGTACGTTGGCTAATAGGACTGATGGACTGAGGCAGATTACCCACTCGCCGTCATCGATATTTCTCGTAGCTGTCTATTTACCACCACAAACCGATGCTGGCACTAAGACCGCACTCAACGAGCTGTACAAGGCCATAAGCAAACAAGAAAATGCTCATAGAGAGGCGGCGCTCCTAGTGGCCGGGGACTTTAATGCAGGGAAACTTAAATCCGTTTGACCTAATTTCTACCAGCATGTTAAATGTGCAACCAGAGGGAGAAAAAAAAACTCTAGACCACCTTTACTCCACACACAGAGACGCGTACTACTCTCCCTCACCCTCCATTTGGCAAATCTGACCATAATTATATCCTCCTGATTCCTGCTTACAAGCAAAAACTAAAGCAGGAAGTACCAGTGACTCGCTCAATACAGAAGTGGTCAGATGACGCAGATGCTAAGCTACAGGACTGTTTTGCTAGCACAGACTGGAATATGTTCCGGGATTATTCCGATGGCATTGAGTAGTACACCACATCAGTCACTGGCTTCATCAATAAGTGCATCGATGACGTCATACCCACAGTAACCGTACGTACATACCCCAACCAGAAGCCATGGATTACAGGCAACATCTGCACTGAGCTAAAGGGTAGAGCTGCCACTTTCAAAGAGCAGGACTCTAACCCGGACGCTTATAAGAAATCCCGCAATGCCCTCCGACGAACCATCATACAGGCAAAGCGTCAATACAGGACTAAGATTGAATCGTACTACACCGGCTCTGACGCTCGTCGGATGTGGCAGGGCTTGCAAACTATTACGGACTACAAAAGGATGCACAGCCGCGAGCTGCTCAGTGACACGAGCGTACCAGACGAGCTAAATTACTTCTATGCTTGCTTCGAGGCAAGCAACACTGAAGCATGCATGAGAGCATCAGCTGTTCCGGATGACTGTGTGATCATGCTCTCCGTAGCTGATGTGAGTAAGACCTTTAAACAGGTCAACATTCACAAGGCCGCAGGGCATTGATGGTTAAGGGCTTGTAAGTAAGCATTTCACTGTAAGGTCTACACCTGTTGTATTTGGTGCATATGACAAATAACTGATTCGATAATCAAATTGTATTGTTTTCTTGCACCAACCACGAGCATCACCTGTCAAACTCAGACATTTCTCTCAAAACACAGGGATATCGATTCGCATGGGACTAGTATTATCATCGCCAAAAAACAGTAGGTTATTCTGTCTGGAATTGTTACTCTCCTGCCATGTAAAAATTACTGCCATGGCAGATTCAGACAGGACAAAAATTACAGATGTGGTGTTTTGTGCTCGAAGTTACAGGTCTGTGAGAGCCAGTAATCTTGCTTGTTTGTAGGTGACCAAATACTTATTTTCCACCATAATTTGCAAATAAATTCATTAAAAATCCTACAATGTGATTTTCAGGATTTATTTTTCTCATTTTGTCTGTCATAGTTGACGTGTACCTATGATGAAAATTACAGGCCTCTCTCATCTTTTTAAGTGGGAGAACTTGCACAATTGGTGGCTGACTAAATACTTTTTTCCCCCACTGTAATTACATTACCCGACCTCCGCCAGTAAAACTAATCCCGTCCGAATAGGGCACAATAGGGCCTGACATATAGCATCATAATCACATCAATAAATTGGTTATAACAAACTCTGAACACCGTAACACATATGACAGCAAAATGGATGCAGAGGACATGACAAATAAACTCAAAACAGGGGAATATTTACTCGTTGCTCAGGAGGTAAAGGGAAAGTCAGATGTGTGGGATACATTTGACTAGTTGTGGAAAATACTGGAGATCAAGAAAAAGAAGGTGAGGAGCAAGCTCTGCGTGCATATTATGTGTGCCAAACAGGTGCTGTATAGATTACAATATACTTTTCCTGACCATCTGGAACAATGTAAACACTAAATAAATTATAAGCGTACCAGAGAGTTTGTTGTAATGTTTTTGGCTAAGCCTTATTTACAGCAAAGACTTAAAAACAGTCGCATTCATTCATGAATGCAATTTCTGAAATGGAACGGTTTACTTATTGTTTAAGCAAATTATTCAAGGTTTGCTTCATTTTAAAATCATGAATGACTCGTATGCTGTGTGATGACATGAACAAATGAATGATTGATTGATACAGTAGCCTATATAAAGTGAGGGAAAAAAGTATTTGATTCCCTGCTGATTTTGTACGTTTGCCCACTGACAAACACATGATCAGTCTATAATTTTAATGGTAGGTTTATTTGAACAGTGAGAGACAGAATAACAACAAAAACATCCAGAAAAACACATGTCAAAAATGTTATAAATTGATTTGCATTTTAATGACGGAATTAAGTATTTGACCCCTCTGCAAAACATGACTTAGTACTTGGTGGCAAAACCCTTGTTGGCAATCACAGAGGTCAGACGTTTCTTGTAGTTGGCCACCAGGTTTGCACACATCTCAGGAGGGATTTTGTCCCACTCCTCTTTGCAGATCTTCTCCAAGTCATTAAGGTTTCGAGCCTGACGTTCGGCAACTCGAACCTTCAGCTCCCTCCACAGATTTTCTATGGGATTAAGTTCTGGAGACTGGCTAGGCCACTCCAGGACCTTAATGTGCTTCTTCTTGAGCCACTCCTTTGTTGCCTTGGCCGTGTGTTTTGGGTCATTGTCATGCTGGAATACCCATCCACGACCCATTTTCAATGCCCTGGCTGAGGGAAGGAGGTTCTCACCCAAGATTTGACGGTACATGGCCCCGTCCATCGTCCCTTTGATGCGGTGAAGTTGTCCTGTCCCCTTAGCAGAAAAACACCCCCAAAGCATAATGTTTCCACCTCCATGTTTGACGTGGGGATGGTGTTCTTAGGGTCATAGGCAGCATTCCTCCTCCTCCAAACAAGGCAAATTGAGTTGATGCCAAAGAGCCCTATTTTGGTCTCATCTGACCACAACAATTTCACCCAGTTCTCCTCTGAATCATTCAGATGTTCATTGGCTAACTTCAGACGGGCCTGTATATGTGCTTTCTTGAGCAGGGGGACCTTGCGGGCGCTGCAGGATTCCAGTCCTTCACGGCGTAGTGTGTTACCAATTGTTTTCTTGGTGACTATGGTCCCAGCTGCCTTGAGATCATTGACAAGATCCTCCCGTGTAGTTCTGGGCTGATTCCTCACCATTCTCATGATCATTGCAACTCCACGGGGTGAGATCTTGCAAGGAGCCCCAGGCCGAGGGAGATTGACAGTTCTTTTGTGTTTCTTCCATTTGCAAATAATCGCACCAATTGTTGTCACCTTCTCACCAAGCTGCTTGGCGATGGTCTTGTAGCCCATTCCAGCCTTGTGTAGGTCTGCAATCTTGTCCCTGACATCCTTGGAGAGCTCTTTGGTCTTGGACATGGTGGAGAGTTTGGAATCTGATTGATTGATTGCTTCTGTGGACAGGTGTCTTTTATACAGGTAACAAGCTGAGATTAGGAGCACTCCCTTTAAGAGTGTGCTCCTAATCTCAGCTCGTTACCTGTATAAAAGACACCTGGGAGCCAGAAATCTTTCTGATTGAGAGGGGGTGAAATACTTATTTCCCTCATTAAAATGCAAATCAATTTATAACATTTTTTACATGCGTTTTTCTGGATTTCTTTGTTGTTATTCTGTCTCTCACTGTTCAAATAAACCTACCATTAAAATTATAGACTGATCATTTCTTTGTCAGTGGGCAAACGTACAAAATCAGCAGGGGATCAAATACTTTTTTTCCCTCACTGTAAGTATTGAAATATAGGCCTAAGTAAGTTATGGTATTAAGACTAAACAGGATGCGCTCTTAGGCCTATAGCTCAGTGGTGGTTATACAAGGCTGCTATACTAAGGCTACTAATGATAAATGACATTACTTATGATCATAATATTGATAGTAATAATAACAATAAGAAGGAGATCAAGTAAAAGGAGCGTTATTATTATAAATATTATTAGGAACAGTCTAAAAAACAAATAATAGTTTTGTTTTGCCGGATGTCTAGCCTGCATTTTCTGTACATGACGACCAAGTGCTTAGCTTTTCAAATAGCTAAAAGCCAGTTAGTTGGAGTTTGTGTGTGTACTTCCATTTGTACCACCGCACTGTAAAAATATTGAGTGCATGCGGTACACAGAATGTGCGGTACCCCCAACGTTGCGTTACGGACTGCTCCATTGACAATGAATGGCTTCCGCCGGAACTCAATGAGTTTGATGCATCTGGTGGACATGAGGCGTCAGTCTCGTGTCTGCTCCGCACAGACCGGACAAGTTTAAACGGGCCAATGTAGTTAATTACCACGTTTCTGTGCTAAACTATGTAGAATATTGGCCTGTTGGAATCTACAACTCCCTACTACATCGCACAGTTCAGGCTTGATCTGATATATCTCTACAGAAACTGCACATCGAGCTCATAGAAAAATGGAATTCCAATAATTTAACAGATATCGGTCAATCAGTTGTTTAAAAATAAAAAAATAACCAACATTTTAGTTAAATCGCTCAGCACTAGCACCTATTGACTTTTATAGTCCAATAGGCCTAATCAGTAGAGGCATGACTAGCATGTGAGTGTTCTCCTTGCTGATTCAATAGAAGGAAGGGATGTAGTAGTCATAGGGCCTCACAAAGTGATGATGCCGCCTTTTCACTCACACATCAGCAGTTTAAGCTCAATATCACAACTATGCCCAATTGAGTCACTGGTTTATTGACCAAATGTAGCTCTTGATCTGACGAAATTTGACATTCACACATTGCCAAGTCATAACATACACAGTTGGTCAAATCAACTCAAAGGGGCCATCAAAAAGGGCTACCAACATAACCCAAAACCATTATACACAAGAAGCAACTGTTCTCAGCTCAAGATAACATTATCCTCAGTGAAGCGCAGACAGTGTAGGGTTTGGTTTCAGGTGACTGCTCTGGTAAGAAGCCCAAAAAAGTGGATGAAACTAGATCTCTATATTTGCTACATTGTCCCATTTCACTGAACAAGAGCAACCATGTGTAACATAAAGTATTCCAGTACAGCTGTGATTGATCCATACTGAGGGACTTTTGCCAGACTAGACCATCTCTTTGACAAAATGTTAAAGTTGATCAGGTGTCATTTCCACATTACATAAACAAGCACAGAGTATCAGAACTACGACCTATAAAACCAATCCACATACTATTTTGCATGACAGCAAAATAAGTTAAACTGCCGTAACTTACAGAAGGCAATTTAGAGAGTCTGATTATTTTGTGGCACAAAGCCATTGATTTGCTGAGGCAGCAGTGTCCTCGCACTTCATGACAAGAAATGAATCAACAGTGACGCAAGGCGCACGTGAAAGGTTTCCCTGTGTCTGGCATGTCTAGCAATTTCACAATTTCAAATGTAATCATACATTACATTTACACCTGAAAGTAAACTTACAGAATATCATTATCAACCATGTGTTTTTGTATGAAAAGGTATTCACAAAGATGGTGGAAATATATACCTTTCCCAAATGAAAAAAATACAATGAAACATCGCCAATTTAGACTACTGTAGATACAAATATATTGAGGGACAACTCTGTTTACCAGGAACAGTGCAATAAACAGGAAAAATATTGCAGCCTGATGGTCTAACCCGCATTACATTAGACGTTGGCTACATTGTAAACACCGTGACATCAATGACAACATAACTGAAGCGTTCACTTACTTTGCGGATAGCGTGTTGATAGAGCCTGTTGTTAGCATAAGACCCGCAAGAAATAGTTGATACTTTGTCCAAGCCATGTTGGACGTGCGAGAGGATATAATATACAATTACTAGAGACTTTGTTTCGAACCCTTCAAGATGTTTAACAGCAACTGTTTGCACTACATCTGCCTAAAAAAAATTAAATCACATGACTTTGAGTGTGTCAGCTGACTGAGTGCGCACGAGCAGTGAAGGACGGTTTCCTGCTCGTGGGGCATTTCAGCCCTGAACAATGCCTGACAGGCAATTCTGTCTCCTGCCGAGTAGGCTACTTTATGAAGACACGGACTTCTTCTGTACGTTTATCTTGTTTAAAATAAAGCAATAAAATGCTTTTATTGAACACACATGCTGGCTAAAATATTTATAGGCTTCCACCACCTCCAAGCCCCTCCTACCTCACTGCTGGACTTTAACATTACACCACAGCCCCCAGGCTGTGTGTCACCTCCAATATTCAACAAACAACGCAGCTAACTTGCCTAGTCTTGTGAGGTAGCTATTTAGCTAGGCAGTCTTGTTAACTAGGAGCGAACACATTATCTGTGCTGGTTGTTAGCTTGCATAACTGATATGTGTATAATTATAAAGGGACCCTTCATACTTTGTGGATAATATTAAAATGTACAGTGTGTGAGATCCATTCCTGACAGGCTGATCAGATTCAATTTCAGCCTCAGATGCTGCCTTTTAGGCTGTTTCATAGGTAGTCTAAGGCTCCTTGTAGACATCCTACAAGACAGCATCCTGACTTATCAGCCTCTGAGGCTGTTATTGAATCTGATCAGCCTGCCAGGAATAGAGCTCACCCATTCTGGATCATATGCATCCGCCTATAAGGGAGTGACAGCTAATCTGCCTGCAAGGATCTTTTACCTATGAAACAGTCCACAAGACAGCATCCTGATTTATCAGCCTCTGAGGCTGCAGTTGAATCTGATCATCCTGTCAGGAATGGAGCTCACCCACTCTGTCAATTTTTATATTATCCACAAAACATGACGTGTCCCTTATAATTATACATAGTTATGCAAGCTAACAACCAGCATAGACAACAAGCTAGCTTGCAGATTTGAACCCGATCGAACATCTCTGGAGAAACCTGAAAATAGCTGTGCAGCGATGCTTCCCATCCAATCTGACAAAGCTTGAGAGGATCTGAAGAGAAGAATGGGAGAAACTCCCCAAATACAGGTGTGCCAAGCCTATAGCGTCATAACCAAGACTCGAGGCCAGTGGCGGCTGGCCGATAGAGGGCGCTAGGGCGCCGCCCCCTTAAATAAAATTATTTAAAAAAAAAAAAAAAAAAAAAAAAAAATAATAATAATAATAATAATAAAAACATCAGTATGTCAATATTTGTGTGTTTGAAATATGGAATGCACACAGTAATATGTGTAAGATATGATAGAAAATCATATTCGCAACCTTTCCTCTGCCTGTCAAACGCCTCGTCAGCTCTGGGCGATACAGAAAGTGCCCCGAGGAGGCGGGTCTACGTAGCAGTTAAGCCAATTGCTAATTTAAGATATGAATGTATGACATAAAATGTAGCTAATCAGCGATTTTAATTCGAATCCAAGGAGGGCGATTATTTTATCGCCCCAAGCTCGCCCCTGATAAAATAAGGACCGGGCTCCAGTGGCGCCATTTTTACTAGACGACAATGGCGAGCGCAAACGTTACTCCTCCAAGACCCAACCCTAACTCGGTGAAATCTCTCCTCCAAGATCCGTTTGAGAGGAGAACTTTGTCAGAGAAAGTTCGGGTGAAAGAGCTGGGCCCAGATCAACCTGACCTCTCAATCAGACAGCAGGCTAGCGAGAAAGGGAAGCAGTATATGCGCGGCTTCTCCCGTAGCTGGTACACCAGGAAGGCTTGGCTAGCTGGGTGCACTGATGCTAATGCTTTATTTTGCTTTCCGTGCTTGCTTTTTAAAACGACGGGGTCAGATTCAGCATGGACAGGTACCGGAGTGAGGGATATGAAGCACCTGTCAGAGAAGGTAAAGAAACATGAGAACACCAGGGCACACATGGACAACTCTGTAAAGCTAGCTGTATTAGGAAGGGTGAACATTGCTACGCAGCTGGATGACGGCCACAGGATTGCGGTGAGGAAACACAATGAGGAGGTGGATAAAAACAGGCACATTCTATCCAAAATTATCGATTGTGTGAAGTTCTGTGGGGCTTTTGAGTTGGCCTTGCGTGGGCACGAGGAGACTGACTCCTCGGACAACCCCGGCATTTTCCGGGGCTTAGTGGATTTTGTTGCCTCCCTCGACAGTGTGCTGGAGGAGCACCTGAAGACAGCTACCGTTTTTAAGGGCACGTCAAAGACGATACAGAACGAGCTGTTGGACTGTATGCTGTCAGTGCTTAAGGATTACATCCTGGAGGAAGTAAAGAGTGCTGATTTTATCGCCATTCAAGCTGACGAGACGACTGACGTTTCCACCCACTGCCAGTTGGTGCTTGTGATACGCTACATCGATGCTAAAAGTAACGTCCAAGAGCGTTTTTTTCGAGTTCATTTTGATCGAGAACGCAACCGCCGACACCATCGCTACAGCGCTGCTGGAGAGGCTCAGCACCATACTCTCACATGGACAAAAGGCCAAACTTATTGCCCAGGCTTACGACGGAGCAAGTGTGATGAGGGGAGCCACCGGCGGAGTGCAGCGTAAAATAGTGGATGTGTACGAAAATGCGCACTACGTCCACTGCTATGCACATCAGCTGAACCTCATCATGCAGCAGGCTACTTCACGCATCCCCAGGATCGGCACTTTCTTTTCCGACCTTGCAGGATTTTCTGCTTTCTTCTCCAGGTCTCCCAAGCGAACCACCGTGCTTGACGAAGTGGTTGCGCATAGACTCCCCAGAGCCTCTACAACACGGTGGAACTTCCACAGTCGCGCTGTAAACACTGTGTACGAGTACAGGGATGACCTCCTAACGTGTTTCCAGACCATCAGAGACTCTGGGAACTTTGATGCCCCGACTGTCAGAGAGGCGGGGGGCTTTGTGAGGATGCTCGAAGACGAGGCTTTCTGTTTTTTCCTGGCACTGTTCCACAAGATCATGCCAAATGTGGACATGCTTTTCAGCCAGCTGCAGAAGAGGAACATCGACCCTGTCTTCATTAAAGCACTTGTCCAGAGGTTCACAGACAGCATGCTAACAATCAGGTAAATAACTATATTTACTATTGGCTGATAAAGATGTTGTTAGAAAGATGAATAGTTCACTTACAACAGTTTAAAAGCCTAAATGTGTCTGGTCATCAAAGTGAGTGATTATCATAGAGCCGTCACAATTATATTTGTTTTAGTATTTTAAAAGGAAAGAGAAGACACAATCAGACGTTGATAATAATGCAGGAAAGTACTACACAGTTTGTAATAATTATTCAGGTGTCCACCAGGTCAATTTCTAGAAGAGGCCTAGTTGTTATTGAAGATTAACTTTATTGCTAAGTGCACAGCAGAACAAAATGATGTTGCATCCCTCTCACAAATGTAATAGAAAAAGGCTTTAAAACGTAATAACATCAGTTAATTATGTACATCACAGGTTAAAAGCAGTTACTAGACATAGTTTGTGTGTATATACACACTATCTGTCTGTCTGTCTGTCTGTCTGTCTATATATATATATATATATATATATATATATATATATATATATATATATATAAAAGTCACTGGTTGTGTGTTGAGGGGGAATTACAGTGAGTTAAGAAGTCTGATTGCAAGTTATCAAATTAAACTTTATTTTTTGGACCCAGGGCCTCAATTCCCTCTTTGTGTGGGGACAGCGCATCTGACGAGCAGCAACAGCCCATCAAGCGACGGAGGATGCTGGGACCAGGAGAACAACAGAGGTTGGCTATAGAGGTAAGTTGTGATGTAATTGTCAGTGTTTCCCCCTAGAACTATTTTCAGGCCTGGTAGTATGTAGCCAAAACCCTGAACAATCAGCACCTTGGTAATCATATACTTGAGTTGGACATAGGCATGTGTCAGTCAGGATCACTTGCATCAAAATAGCTTAATTGCAAATTAAAGCTGATGATGTATCTTTTACAGGTATGTGATACCATCCTGAGTCATGCCAAAGAGAGGTTCTCCTTCACCCAGCACCTCATCAGCGCAACACTATTGCACGGAGAGTTGTTCCCACAACACAGTGTGAAGTTCCCCGATACAGCGCTTGAAACAACCGTGGAGGCGTACCCCATGTTGAACAAGGCCAAGCTCAAAACCGAACTGTCCCTCATCTATGAGAACAGTGAGTTCAAGGCTTGTAGTGGTGCAGTGCCCCTGTACCAGTTCTTCATGGAGAACAACCTTCAGAGCACTTTCACAGAGACTGCCAGCCTCCTCAAGATCCTCATCACCACACCCATGACAACTGCTGAGTCAGAAAGGTGCTTCTCTACACTGAAAAGGATCAAGACCTTCCTGAGAAACAGCATGACACAGGATCGCCTGAACGCTCTGGCCATGCTCTCCATGGAGAAGAAACTTGTCAGGGACATTCCTGACTTTAATCAAAGGGTCATTGAGAGGTTTGCCACTCAGAAGGACAGACGGGCAAAATTCCTGTACAAATAAGATGACAGACACACACACACAGAGCAGCTCTGGCCGCATGTTTCTTTGTATATAGTTGACCTTAGCATAAAAAATCCAGTTATATATGGTACTCTAGAAAGTCTTAATAGTGTCTTTGCTAATATTACTGTATATATGTTGTTTGTATCAATTAATTGTTGCAGTTCTGGAGCACATTAACAATTAGTCACATTTAGTATGATCATAAAATACTGTATGCTATTCTTCCAGTCAAAGGTTTGAGTTCATCCACTTGATATCCATTTCTATATTATACATCCTTTTATACAGTGTAAGATTTCCTATAAACTTTATAATAATTTCATGTTATTGTCCACTTTCCACTCTGTTCTGACAGCATGCCTGTTGCGTTGCCTGTTTACTACCAATGGTGAAAAGTTCACTTTAAATGCAAATGAAAGGCTTGGGTTTGTGTAATATGTTTTTGTGTAAGAATGCCTCAACTTTTTAATATTGGCATTAAATAATTACTGAATGTTTCACTGAGCACTGCTGTCCTGCAGTTTGTGTTAAAATATATCGCGATGGTTACAGGAAAAAAAAAGTATGGCACAGCCCCACCGAGAATATTTTTCACCAGCCGCCACTGCTCGAGGCTGTAATCGCTGCCAAAGG